TGCACCAAGCAGTCGTGGCCCATTTACAAGACCACCTAAAAATAATCCTTGTCCCGTGCCCATGAGCCTTCTCCGAGAGTCCTGGAGACCAGAACACCACCCGTGCCACCCTCCAGCACAGCATCCCCAATCACCTGCCAGGCTAGCAGCTCCTCTCCTCCCCTTGGCAGGGCAACCTCCTGGTCTGGGAACGTACCCCCTGACGACAAGGACCCCCAGAAGCTGCCGGGCACCTGCCTGGCCAGAAGCAAGTAGCCACAAGGTCAGAAGAGTGAGTATTTGCACCTACCCTTTTGAGGAGGTTCATGGCCGAGGGCGATGCTTTTAGCCAGCTCGGAGGCATACTTGAGCTTCCAAATTGCCTTTTCTTTCCGTCTGGCAGACAGAGAACAATAAGAATGAATGGAATAGCAAAACTTATAATACAGCTTTGTACAACTGTCTTGTTTATTCTTTCTCTCTGCTTTGGTGTTGCATTAAATCCTTCCCCAAAGAACTTCAACCAAAACAACTCCTGTTGTGCCCTTTTGCATCAGGGACTATTTCTCAACTGTCTGAAGAGCTGAGCCTGCAGAGATGTTGAGAGCAAGGAGCACAACTTCCATCCCAACTCCATTTAATTTTGGCCTACCCCATTTTATTGGATTAGCTTCCATTTTTTTCCTAAAATTCACACTACAAAAGCAAGCACATTCTGCCCTGAAAAAGCTACAGCAGTGGGGAGCCGTCCACGCTGCGTACAAAGAGGGGCAAACCAGACATCAGCTCTGCTTTAAGAGGAGCAGATCTTGCTTCACAGCAACAACAAAGGAGGATGATTGGGAAATCAGGGAGCACTCCTGCTTAGCAAACCCTGATCCAGTGCTACACACTGCCTTTTAGGACACATATGGCAGCAATCCAGTAATAGATGCCCCGGGAAATTTCAGCACGGCACCTTCCCCTGTCTCCCCATTCTCAAGGTCAACCAGAAGAGCACGGGACCACCTGAGAATCCATCTGAGAAATGCTGCCACCCCCACCACACATCAACGGCCCGGCCAGTCGGAGCTGGGCAAAGACAGATTCAGGGCATCAGCCACACCAGTGAGCAAAGTCCGTTTGGGTGCTGCAAAGGAGCTTGGTGGGGAGCTATTGCTCTGCCCAGAGCTGTGTGTCCAGC